AAGTTCTGCCCAAATTCTGACTTAAAAATGCTCAGAATTTACTAAGTGTTTTAGCTTCAAGGATATCTTCATGGATTTATAACTTGAAATCCTATCCTTTCTAGAAGAAGTTATGTTCTACAATGTTTTAGATCTCATCGAGATCTATAACTTTCATGTCAGAAGTTCTGATTGAATCATCTTGCATCATGATGAAAATCTAGCCCAAAGTTATGAAATTATCATATTTTCTTAACACTTAGAAAATTTTCTAAGTGTTTAGAAATTTGACTTTTCAAAGTAATCTTTGACTTTTGATTTCTTGATGAACTAACTTCATGTCTTGATGAAATATGATTTTTGAAACTTGATTTTGATCAAAAAGTCAAAGTTTGACTTTTCAGTATGCATTTAACCATTTTGCCCTTGTGAATGACTTTCTTGGAAAATTGTAATCCGATACTTGAAACTTGACAAAAGAAATCCTGAGGGTCCAGGATGATCCCTGAAAGTCATTTGAAAATGTTAGGAGTCCAATTGTCTTTGCGCAAACTCAAACCCTAATTTGAAGCATAAGCGTGAGGAGACGTCTTGACCTAGTCAATACTTTGCACAAGCTTGAGTCATCAAAGATATTTGTGGAAAATACCTTGAGAAATGAGAGGGAAAATTTTGGGGTACAACAGTGTGATTACATCAGATGATGTGATAGATAATGAAGGTGAGTTGGTACATTATGATTTCTATGCATATGTCGAACCTGTCAATGCAACTGAAGCATTGAAAGATTTGAAGTCGGTGGAAGCAATGAACGAAGAAGTGAAGTCTATCGAAGACAATTACACTTGGTCACTTATCGAATTGCCTCAAGGCAAGAAGAAAATTGATGTCAAGTGGGTATACAAAGTGAAAACGAATTCGAAAGGGGAAGTAACTCGACACAAAGCAAGGCTTGTGGCGAAACGATTTCTACAGAAAGAAGCAATATACTTTGATGAAGTTTTTGCACCCGTTGCTAGGATCGAAACAATCAGGTTGGTTGTTGGTCTAGCAGAAATAATAGATGGCACATATGTCAGATGGACGTAAAGTGTGAATTCTTGAATGGACCTTTAGACGAAGAAGTTTATGTTAAACAACCAATTGGGTTTGTGAAACATGACGAAGAAAGAAAGGTGTACAGGCTGCATAAAGCCCTGTATAGATTGAAACAAGCTCCAAGAGCTTGGAATAAGAAAATTGATAGTTTCCTAAGGGAGAAGGAATTTGTGAAGTTCACAACTGAACATAGAGTATATGTAAGAAAAAGCAATAGTGAATTGCTTATACTATGTCTCTATGTAGATGATTTGTTGATAATAGGTAGTTGCAAAAGTAAGATCGAAGACTTCAAAGATGATCTCAGCAAAGAATTCAAAATGTCTGATTTGGGTGAGATTTCATATTTCCTTGGCATCGAATTCTACAAGAGCAGTAAAGGTTTGATGATGCATCAAAGAAGATATGTAGGAGAAATTCTCAAGAGGTTTGAGATGGAAGAATGCAACTCAACTTCGACACCTGCAGAACCAAGACTGCAATTATCGAAAGATGCAGATGAAGATGATGTCGACCCAACCCAATACAAAAGACTTATTGGATCATTGAGATATCTTTGTCATATAAGACATGACTTAGTATATAATGTAGGTATGGTAAGTAGATTCATGCAGAAGCCAAAGTTATCACATCTAGCAGCGGTGAAGAGGATACTAAGGCATCTCAAAGGAACTCTTGACTATGGAATTTTGTTTCCTGCAGCTGATAAAGAAAAAGAATGCAAGTTAGTGGGATACACTGATTCGAGTTGGTGTAGTGATGCTGAAGATCGAAAATCAACAGCAGGATATGTGTTTATGTTAGGTGGTGCACCACTTGCTTGGAGTTCAAGAAAGGAACTAGTAGTGGCATTATCATCATGCGAAGTAGAATGTATAGTTGCTTCTCTTTGTGTATGTCAAGCAACTTGGATGGTGAACTTGGTCGAAGAGATAATAGGGAAAGATCATGGAGAAATTACCATGAAGATCGACAACATGTCAGCTATCAATCTGGTGAAGAACCCGATAGCACATGGTCGAAGCAAGCACATCGAAATTAGGTTCCATTATCTTCGAGAGCAGGTATCAGATATGAAGATGAATTTAGAACACTACATAAGTGAGAATCAGATTGCAGACATCATGACGAAGGGTGTGCAGGTTGAAGTATTCAGAAGACTAAGAGCCATGATGAATATAGATAGTTTAGACACAATGAATAAGATGATGTGTTAAATTGTAATTCATAGTGTCGAAACTATGTGTGTCGAAGAGATTAGATTTATTTTAGATTTAAATAGATTTGATTTAGATCTAAAATAGAATAGATTTGATTTAGTACCAAAATAGGTATTTTGGGCTTTGATAGTTTTGGGCTTAGGGTGAAAGCTAAATCTATAAATAGAGGGAGTAACCCCTAATTTTTAATCAAGTCAATTAAGTTGTATTCACAGAATTTGCAGTTGCAAGTGAATAACAAAGTTTTCCATAGTTTGTGGGCAGAGAGAAACTCTACAGAAATTAATTGTCTTCTTTCTTTTCTTTTCTTTCTTATAATTTATTGTCATTGTGTAGAAATTCATCATAGATATTTGGTGGATTTCCAACATTTTTTAAGTGAAGTAGAAAATATTATTAAAGAGTATGGTTGAAAATCATATTTATTGTAATGACTTGGTGCACCTCAATTATACATCATAACAAAGACGGTTGGAATAAATTCCATAAAACAAAAGTATAGAAAATTCTCAAAAAAAGTTAAACAAAAAAAAGTATTAAAAAAATTGAAATTAGAAAATATTCATACACTAATAAAGTGAGTAATACATTTTAAATGCATATTATTGGTTTTTTATTGATTTTTCTCTATTTATTTTTATTAAAAAAAAACTTTTCCACGCCTAAATTTAAAAATAAATACTTATTATTTTTAAAGAGATAAGATACAATAGATGAAATAATTAATTAATGATACTTCAAACTTTGAAAACATTAACTTTGTGCATTCTACAACATTTTTTAAAATTACTTCATGGCTTCAATAGAAGAAAAAAAGTCATCAAATGGTTTTAAGAGTGTCGGGTTAAATTAATATAAATGATGTAATTAAAATGATAATTAAATGGTGTTTTAAAAACTATTATCATACCTTCTCAACATTTAATATAATACTAATAATTGTTTTTACAAGAACTTGATTAACATGTTAGTTTCTTCAAATATCCACAAGGTTTTGAAGTAAACAAATACCACATTTTTTATAAAGATATACTTTTTATAAAATTAAATTTAATATCTCCTTAGACAAGAAAATAATTTATATAAATTTCACAACACAAAATAAATAAACTTTATTACTTACATAGTTGAGTTATCTAATCCTCAAGTACAACATTTACTCTTATATAACAGGTAATACAATAACAATTAAGTATTCCATGAATAACAAATAGGGACATGTGTTTTGGATTCATATGATATATTGTGTATGAATTATGACATGGTTGCATTGATTATAGTATGAGATATAATCATTTGATAATGTTTTATGAAAGAGATATTTCATTGTGATATGCATATTTATGAAAACATGAAGTATAAATATGTGCTATGTATTATGACCAGGTCCATGTAATGATGTTTAGTTGGATTTCTATGTTTTTGGAAAATGACATGTGACACCCTTGAATGTTATGTATGCTATTTTATTCTGATTTATGTTATATTTGCTTGAGGGTAAGAAAGGGGTGTTACAAGTATGATCTGTTCGCGGTTTTGAAAACAATTCAATGATTTCGGATGTGGATATAAAAATTGATAAATTATGGAGTAAATTCAGATATATACATGCGAAGACATCTTTTCTTGATAAAATAAAATTATTTCGGATATGCAAATACGAACACGCCTATTATTGACAAATACAGTGTATTCGGATATGCATATCTAAATTCCAGAAGTATTTTGATTTTTTCGTCACAAATCTGAAATCTGCTAGGTGTAAATAGAAATTCTCGAATAAAAATTAATTTTTGTTAATCAATAAAAACATAATTCTATATTACTTTTTTCTCTTTCTAGAATATTGAAGATGAAGAAATCATCACTCTCTTATTTTGAATTAAATGAAAGGTATATTTTAAAATTTTAGCATTATTTATAATAGCTAGTAAAATTTAAAATTATTTTTGTTGTTGCTTATAATAGTGATTTGAGGTAAATGACTTGCAAGTGTTTGATAAATCTAAAGTTGTGTGTCTGTATATCTTATAACAAATTTTATTTGCATTATTTACCTAGATAAATGTACACCAAAAAATGATTTATAATATTTCGAAAGAAATGAACTATAGTTATAGCCTGTATATTCGATTTATAGCTTCTTCTTTATGAGGCAATTAATTCCAAGATATATGAAGTCAATCATCTTTCCAACAAACTTGTTCTTGCTTGACAAATGATAGAAGACATCTCATATCAAATCTCAGTTATGTAATAACCAAGTGTAACATCACTTTCATGATGTGTTTAGGGGTTGTGACAAAATCATGTTTGGTTCAAATTATTATGTCCTAGTAATCCACCTCATATATCATCTCATTCTCACACATTCTTAATCTTACTTAAACAGATAAAACAAATCCATAAACATATTTGTCACTTGATTTAACTGTTAGTTACCATGTCATCTTCATGAACAACAACAACAACACAATCCAATTTTTGTTATGTCTTAGCCTTCAAATAACAACCTACCATATTCCTTATCTATTGTCTATGCTATAAACATATCTCTCTCTACCTATTACTACACCTATATATGAACTTTGAAGTAGAAGCAAAGAAACCAACAAATAAAACACCAACCCTCAACTCAAACAGATACTAGTACTCATAAATCATAATCCTCGTATCATTCAACAAACAAACAAAACAAAAACAATGGAACATGATCAACCTATGTCGGAGAGTCCTATGTTTGATTATAGCTCAACCGTTGATACCTCCCGTCCTTTCTCCTCTGTCAAAGAAGCCGTAGCCATCTTTGGCGAACGTATTCTTGTCGGAGAAATATACTCTCCATCTCCTTCTCCGACTCCAAACTCATTCTCATTCTTAGAAACTACTACTCCCACACCTTATTATTCTCCTTCTATGTCTATTAAGCGAGAACCATCGTCGTGGAGATCAATACCATCACCATTACCGATTAGTCCTATCAAATCATCATCATTTAAGGAAGAAGAAAAAAACAATAACGATAGTGAAACTCTTTTTGATACAGTGAAGAAGCTGGAGGAAGAGCTTGAGAAAACAAAAAGAGAACTGAAGATTTTAAAGGAAAGAGGAAGTGAGACAGAGGTAGCGTTGGCAACTTTGAACGCTGAGCTTCACAAGAACATGTCAAAGTTGGCTGAAGCTGAAGCAGCAGCAGCTGGAAAAGCAGCTTCAAAGAGTGTGAGATTTGAGAACATTGTTGAGAGAGAGAATATTCATAAGAGTTCACAATCACAAACACTGGCTCATATGATAAGTCTGGGAGAGAATGACCATATAGTTGGAGGGAAAAAGAAGAATAATAATAAGATTAGAAAGCAGAAGCCTATAGTGCCTCTTGTGGGTGATTTATTTTTGTTTTTCAAGAGAAAGAGTTCTTTTTCTACTGATCACCATAATAATCCTCTATATGCTTCTCCTTTTTAATTCATTTTTTTAAATTGATTCATGTGTGATTGGGGGATTTGTACTATTGGTTTCTGGAATGTGTGTGTTTTTTGTTGTAAAGTTAAGTTTTATGTAAAAGTTAATAATGTTTGTATCTATTCTACCCATGTAAAATTAAGAACCAGCTGCTCAATGGAAACTTATGCAAATATGGCTCCGGCCGGAGGAAACAAGGGAATGACTAGAATAGTCCGTTTGATTTGTAAACAAAAAAAATAAAATAGCTCGTTTGGTAAATAAAGAGATTTCTTAACATGTATCCATCGATTTTTTTTTTATGACATACAAATATAATATATATTATTTCTGTACCGTGTATCAAGTGTTTTGAATTTTTTTTTTAAATAATTACTTTTTTTAAAAGATTTTCCTAAATAATCATATTTTTAAAAATTTTATCAAAATGATCACTTAGATATTGTGTTGATGGTCTTTATCTCTTAGATATTATGATTTGTTTAGTTGTTTTGTCTGTTTATCATGTTGTCGTATTGTTGTCCTGAGTATGTGGTGTTGTAATTTTTTGTGTCGTGATGTGAAAGTTATTGTAATCGAATGATAAATTGAACACGAAATGATAACTCAAATTTAAATTGAAATAAATTGCGTACAACAAATTAAATACTCCAGATAGTTTGCTATTAAAAAGTTATGTTGCAGAGCTAGACCCAATATTCAGACAATTTTTCCGATTGTGTCCGGGAAGACGACATGTACCGCATAATCTTATCATTTTGTTGGCCGTATCCATTTCAGTTCTAATACGAATGCTTTTCGGGCACCCCTTTTTCTTCCGTCGCATTTGTTCATTGTGCCAAACAATATCCCCTTCATAAGCAGGCCAGTAATCCTCCTTTGCCAACACGAAGAAGGTATTGATGTACACACTTAAAACGCTCTTTACCGTGTACACGGGGGATATATGTTGTATTTGGTCCAAGTGAACATGCAAACATGCCGCTATGACATGAGAGCAAGGCATGCGAAATGCTTGAAACTTTCCGCAATCACACCAACCTCTATATAGTTCGACTCGATAATATCCCCTTGGCCTCCCCTCATTATGATCCAGTGTCTCTTGTACACTGAGCCAACCTTTAATACGGTCAAACACTGTGACACTATGGGTGTTTTCTTTTGCAACCTCCTCGTTAAATGTTTTCATCGTGCATTCACTGAACAACTGCCCTGATTGTAACACTGCCCTCCGTTTTGAACTTCTTGTGTCAAACAATGAACCCATTCTGAAATATGTTGCTCTAACCAAAGCGGTAATTGGTAGGTTTCAGATGCCTTTGAATACATAGTTCAATGATTCCACAGATTTGTTGTCATGTGGCTCCATCGTTGACCATTGTCAAATGCTCGAGTCCACTTCTCCACTGGAATGTTATCGATCCACCTTAATACTTCTGAGTTTGCCAATCAGATTTCTTCGCGATAGTATCGGAATGACGGTTCTGTTAAGGCATACCCTGCATTAATAAGATTCTTTCGAAGTGTCTTGTCTTTGATATAGAGCATGAAGTTTTGTGTGATATGTCTAATGCAATAGACATGTGTCGAAGGGGGATCCTGCCAACCGTTATCAGGGTTATTGTATGCACTCACAATTGATGGATGTCTGTCTGAAATCAAATAAAGGTTGGATTGTGGAGCAACATGTAATCGTAGATTCTTCAGAAAGAAATTCCATGCACCACTTGTCTCACCTTCAACTAGATCAAAGGTGTTGCACCGTAAAATTTTCCCTCTCATTTCTCAAAGGATCACTCTGGACCCTCAGGTTTGCTTCCATCCAATTTCAAGCCTTGAATTACAAATTTTCCAAGAGAATCGTTCACAAGGGCAAAATGGTCATTTACACACCAAAGGAGTCAAACTATGACTTTTGAATCAAAAATCAAGTTCCAAGAATCATATTTCATTAAGGCGTAAAATTGGTTCATCAAAAATCAAAAGTCAGAAGTTACTTTGAAAATCAATTTTTTTAAACATTTAGAAAATTTTCTAAGTGTCTAAAGAATATGACACTTCAGAACTTCTGAGCCAGCCTCTATGCAAGTGCAGTTAGAAGTTTCAAATATGGTTCATAACATAGCCTTCAATCAGAACATGGCTCTTCATCCTCTACGCAAGCGCAGTCAGAAGTTGCAAATAGGATTCAAAACATAGTCTTCCATCAGAACGTGACTCTTCAGCGCATGGAGGTTACGTTTCTAATCTTCTGCAAATCAGAACATCACCCAAATCCCAAAACCTCGTTTAAGTAACCTGCTGCCCTGCTACATCACAATTCTGCAATCAGTTGCTGACCCGGTCCATGCATGTACTTTCTCAAACCCCATATTTGCATCAAATTAGCATACGAAAACTGTGGTTAAAAAGCAATGGAACAATATACTAAAAAGGTTTGAATCCCATTTTGTTTCCCCCCCAAAATCACAACAAATCCACCTATAAATAAGATGCTCCATCAGACGTTCAAGGAGCTGGCTGGCTTTTGGAGAGAACTATCAAAAGAGAAAAAGAAACCTGTGAAACCCTTCATAAAAATCCAGATTTCCCAAACAGAAAACCAAACCCTTTGTTCTTCCCTTTGAATCAAAGAACTTGGAATTTTCTCTTTCGTTACTCTTGTTGATTCCAGAACATCCAAAGGAAGCAACTCAAAGCTCCAAGCACGCTCCAGGTTCAAGGTAAGTCTTTCTGACTTTGCTTGTTTTTCATTCTGAACTTCATTAACATGTAAATATCATAGTATTAATATTGTCCATATCATTGCATAAGTAGAAAAACTGTTGATAAGAGTTTCTTGATTAGGGCTAGACTTAGATTTAGATTTAGAACTTCTATAAACTGTTGTGTTGTTATCCTTTTGATTTGCTGTTTAAAAAGAACTGAATAAATTGCTGATGTGCTGATTAAGAGTTGAAATATGGCATAGAACTTCTGATGTTCACTCACAGTTTTAGCACAACATAGATCTTCTGAGTTCTCCTCACTGTTTTAACATACAGAACTTCTATGATTTTTCTCACTGTCAACACACACTGAAATTCTGATTCTTACATGCTGATAACGCACTGAACTGCTAATATTCACTCACTAGCTCAACACAATTCAGAACTTCTGATGATTCACTCACTGTTCTAACACAACACAGAACTTATGAGTTCTCCTTACATGTCAAATACACTGAACTTCTGATATTTCCATTCGCTGTTTTCAAACACTCAGAGTTTCTGATTTTCACATGCTGACAATACACTGAACTTCTGAAGTTTACTAACTGTTTTAGTGTAATACAAAACTTCTGACTTGTGGCCCACTGTCTAAATACCACCCAGAATTTCTGTGTTTTCCCTCTAACGTTTCTTGCAGGACCTCAGAGTATACGAATCCAGAACTTTTGATTCCATTGACGTTCCTTTCTGAGTCATCACGCGTCTGGCTTCAGAACTTCCGATCCTTGTTTATTTTGCTTGGAGTAGCACGCTGTTTCTGTCTTTCATTTATTTCCCTTTTCATCATTTTTAATATTAACATAAAAAGACATAAAAATATTTTCTTTTATTAACTAATTTATTTATTTATTTTAAGACAAAAAACATTTTCTAAACAATTCCATTTCTTTCTTATATTGTACATTTCAATATGGTTGTAATAGTAACTTAGGACTTATTTTTACTTGCAACCCCCATTCATAAATATGTACCCCATCCCCTATATATTGTAATAGCGTAGGACTTTACATTTCTGTAACTTATCGCTTTAAAATATATTGCTAGTAAATAGGATGTATGGCAAGATAAAATCAACAAGTAGATGACTTTCAAATACAAGACAAAATGCATGCAAACTAACACACTTGCACACTAGCACCTCTAAGGTAATCTCATTTTGTTGCCTTTCGGAAAATAGTCATGTCCCTCAAATATGGGACGTTTTAGCAAAGACCCTTCGATAAAAAAGATCGTAGTCCCTCGATGACCCTCGATGTTGCCTTCGGTAAAACGATCTAGTCCCTAAACGACATTGCTAAAACGTCTCATAAGTTGCCTTCTATGACTATTCAAATGTCCCAACGCTCGTGTCTTCACATCCAACGATGGTGCTTCTTACCAAATCAATGGCAAGATAGCAACATCTAAAGGAAGAGGAAAAGAACATCTAAGACCTTTTGAGTAGGTAGGTTCTCTCTTAATTACTCGCTTGCTCACGACAAAAACATTTTATGCACTAACACTCTCATTTTGAAACATCTTTAAAAACAACACTTTGTACGCGTTCTTATAGATACGAGAACCATTACAAAGACACCTTTTCAAAATCACTTTCAAAAACACATTTCACAAACACATCTTTGAACTATTTTCCAAACAAACACTTTGTACGCGTTCTTATAGAGACAAGAATCATTACAAAGTCACATTTTCGAAATACTTTCAAAAACCACATCACAAAGCACACATTCAAACAAAAAGCAAGTGATCTAGCAAGTAACTAAGAGCCCATGGAAAACCATGGATGAAAAGGGTGCTAACACCTTCCCTTTTCATAATCTACCCCCGAACTCAAGAAAACATCTCTAAAGGTCTTTCCTGTGCTTTTTCACCTTTCCTTTTTGGATAAAATAAAAGTAGATGGCGACTCTTGCTAAACTGAAACATTTGCGATAAAACGCAAAACACCCAAGTCAGTTCTCCCACCGCACAGAACTGGTGACTCTGCTGGGGACAAACTTAAAAGTGGGGTTACCTTAGGGTTAAATCACATTTAATTGCCTTCATTTGTTTGAATTTCTTGCTTTACATTATTGGTTCCTTGTTTAGGTTTGGATCCTCTACCCGGATCTGGGGCACCTTTTTAGGTAAGTAGCAATAGATTGTGGAAACTGTACGACGTAGACCGATATGGTTGAAACAATGGCTACGTTAGTGTGACACATTTGTGGGTACCAGTATCCCTCGTGGTGA